AGAAAAGTTACTTGTCAACCTATCATTTTCCTTGTCATATTTAAATTCATTTCTTTAAATTCTTTATCTTTCACATTGTTTTGTGTGATTGTAATTATAACCTAGGTACAATCTTTTTTAATGTTCTGTCTGCATGTATCCCTGCATGCCAGAAGAGGGCACCAGATCTCATTACAGGTGGTTGTGAGCCACCACGTGGTTGCTGGAAATGGAACATAGACTCTCTGGAGGAGCAGTCAGTGCCTTAACCATTGAACCATCTCTCCAGTTCTAAAAAACAATTTTTATAACATGTTATATGCATGATACTTTTTTGTTTTAAAAGGTATTTTCAAATGTATTCATATTTTATGGGTTTGAATGCTTTGCCTGCATCCATGCATGTATGCCACATGTATGTATGTTCACCATAGGTATACCTATTGCCCATGGAGGCCAGAGGGTATCAGAACACCTGTAACCGGAGTCACAAATGGTTGTGAGCTGCCATGTGGGTGCTGGGAACCAACAGCAAGTGCTCTCTACCATGGAGCCATCATTGCAGCCCCCATGATACAGTTTCTTCTACATGTATGTAGACATTGTATGTGCATGGTAGTGTTTCCATGTTGGTATTATGTAGATCTGCTTGAATAAGAAAGTGTCTGGGGGCTGGAAGAGCAGCAAGCATTCTTAACTGCTGAGTCATTTCTTCAACATGTAACAAAATTTTGTAACAAATTGGTAATAATTGTTTCCAAGATTATGTATTGTTCAGTCTCCTTTTTTCTTTCTGTAATTCTTCAGCACAGGCTCCATAATCTGTTGATCCCTGTAAATGCAGAGCCACAGTCTGCACAGGTGAAGATGGGCTGGTGGAAAGAGAGAGCCTGAGCTGACAAAGGGAAATGTGGGTAACAGAAATCAAGAGAGGGCCACAAATACTCTTTCCCTAGTTCTGTGTGCTGCCTGTGTTAACTCTACTTGTGTTTTATTTGCAAACTGTCATCTCTCTGACTTGTTAACACTAGTTGATTAAAAATATTGTACATTTTTGCAAATTTTCATGTATGACAGTTATATTTGCTTTATTCAAATGACCCATGTTATGTGTTTCCATTGATGGTGGAAACTTGAATTCTTGGACTACAGGCTTTATAGAAAAGTATGGTTTTTCCCTCCTTACCAAAAATGTTCTTTTTGTTTGTCAGTTTTAGAAAACTGTGTGATAATCAACAGTTGCTCTCTGTTGACTGATGGCAATGGGTGGCCTAACACTGAACTCTGGTCTTGTTATTTACACTTCAGGCTTGAGCTGAAGGTAAGCTCTTCCCTGAGACAGTAAGGAACCAGCAGATTCATCTATCCAGGCCTTGTCCTGAGTTGTGGCTGATGATATTTGGAAACATTTTCTTGTTTAGTGGCTAATATGGTTGATAATCTATCTTTATAGGAAACATTTTCTATAGCTTTTCACTTTATATTGGTCAGATTTTACTTTTTTCTGTCATAATTTAACATTCAGCTCTCTAGACCATTCTTGCAGAAAAGGGCAAAGATGTTTGTCATGCCCAAGGATTGAAATACGGGGTTTAAAACAGAAGAGGTTTTAAAATATATAGAGTGATGTGCCCCAGCCTTCATGTTATTTAACTTCTTTTTGTTTTAGTGTGTATATGTTCACACATGTGAGTTTGTTTTATTTTTGTTTCTTTGAGACAGCCCTGGTTGTCCTGTAACTCATTATGTAGAAGATCAAGTTGACCTCCAGCTCAGAGATCTGCCTGCCTCTGCCTCCCCAGTGCTGGGACTAAAGGCCTGTGCTACCATGCCTGACTGTGTGTGGATTGTTGTTTTGCTTTGTTTTTTGTTTTTCAAGACAGAGTTTCTCTGTTTAGCCCTGGATGTCCTGCAACTTGCTCTGTAGTCCAGACTATCCTCCAATGAACATATATCCACCTGCCTTTGCCTCCAGAGTGCTGGGATTAAAGTCATGTGCCACCACTGGATGTTTTTTTTTTAAAGATTTTAAAATTATATTTCTGTATGAGTCTGTGTGACGGTATATGCACTTGAGTGCAGGTGCTCACAGTGGCCTTGAATTCATGGTCCTTCAGACTATCTCAAAAGTACTAGGATTATAGGTGTGGGCCAACAACCACGTCTAGCATTGCCTATAGTTGTTTGATATGATTTCAAAAATGTTTAAACACCTCAAAATTATTAAATGATGTGGTATACCTCCCTGTTGTCTAGTGGTAGAAGCCAGCATAGCACTGGTAAGTTATTTGTAAGTGCATGAAGACTAAAAATGAAACCATGACTTGTGAGTGTCCTCTGTAGTTGAGGACTAGGGAGTTCACACTGAGCTGTGTGCTGGGTCCTTTCTACATGTTGCATTGAGATTTGTGCAACTGTCCTGTTGATGGTGGCATCCTTTGCTTTAAGGACACTGAGACTCTCAAGCTAGGCCATGCAACTGCATAAAAAACTTGACCCTGAGATGTGGCTTCAATCTGTACCCTCCTTTATGTCAGGGTACACTTTGCTTTCTATTAACTGGGCAGTTATTAGAAATCCATGTGCAGTGTGGTGGTTCTGTTACATTATGAGGTAGTATGCTTGATGACATGCTTGGTGGTGATCACTCTGTCTGCAGAGACATTCCATGTTCTTGCTGTTGGAATTCCTTCCTAGGACTTTACTTTAGCACATACCTTAGATGGAGTGTTACTAGCATTTTAAAGATTATGTACTTGATTGTGCTCTATCTCTGTTTTACTCTGCTGGCCTGTGAGCCCTCTGTGTGCTAGAAGAAGTGTTAGTGTGTTGTTCAGTTTTTGCTGAAATTCTCCAGATGGTGTAGCCAGGGTCACATGTTTAACCTGCTCTCCTGCTGTGGAGGACTTTGATGGTGTGTGACTGAGTTTTGTGCATTGTGACTCCCTGTTGCTTCAGACTATTGTTGCCTCATGGGTGCTATTAAGCTTTACACATCTAAGCATAATGTCATCTCCCTGAATGACTGTAAGGGTGTGACCCATGCTGCTTTGGAACCTGTGCCTTGTATTCTGTTTTGGATTACCCACCTCAGGTCCTGAAAGTTAGGGCACCCTGTAAGGCAGACTTTTCTGTCCCATCAGCCAGTTCCCAAATAACACAGAGACTTATTAACCAGTAGCACAGGCTTGTTACTAGCTAACTCTTTTTTTTATAGATTTCATTTAAATTAGAAACAATCTTATTTTACATATCAATTCCAGTTCCCTCTCCCTCCCATCCTTCCATGCCTCCCACTGACCCCCCCATCCCATCTCCCATCCATTCCCCAGGGAGGGTGAGGCCTTCCATGAGGGATCATCAAAATCTGCTAAGTTATTTGGGGCAGGGCCTAGGCCCTCCCCTATTGAATATAAGCTAAGGGAGTATCCCTCCATGGGAAATGGGCTCCTGAAGACCATGTGTACACTAGGGATACATCCTGGTTCCACTACCAGAGGTCCCACAGGCTGGCCAGAGCTCCTAGCTGACACCCATATTCAGGGAGCTTGGTATGGTCCTGTGTTGGTTCCCTAGCTGTCAGACTGGGGTTCGTGAGTTCCCACTTGCTCAGGTTAGCTGTTTATATGGGTTTTCCCAGCATGGTCTTCACCCCTTTGTTCGTCACTTCTCCTTCTCTGAAACTGGATCCCAGGAGTTTGGCTCAGTGCTTGACTGAAGATTTCTACTTCTGCTTCCATCAGCTACTGAATGAAGGCTCTAGGATAGCATTTAAGGTAGTCATCATTCTCATTATAGGAGAAGGGCATTTAAGGTAGCCTCTCCACTGTTGCTTAAGGTCCTAGTTGAGGTCATCCTTGTGGATCTCTGTACAATTCCCTCGTCCAGATTTCTCTTTAAACCTATAGTGGCTCTCTCTATTGATGCGGTTTTTTTTCCTTGCTTTCCTCTATTCCTCTCCCCACTCAATCTTCCTGATCCCTCATGTTCTCCTCCCCCCTCCTCCCCCCGCCATGCTCCCCATTTGTTCAGGGCTCTTGTTCCTTTCCGCTTTACTGGGGGACTGTGTATGTCTTTCTTACAGTTCTCCTTGTTTCCTAGCTTCTCTGGCAGTGTGGATTGTAGGCTGGTAATCCTTTTCTCTATGTCTAGTATCCATATATGAGTGAGTACATACCATGTTTGTCTTTCTGTGACTGGGTTACCTCACTTAGGATGGTTTCTTCTAGTTCTATCCATTTGCCTGCAAATTGCTTTTCTTTTCTTTTCTTTTTTGGTTTTTTGAGACAGGGTTTCTTTGTATTGTTTTGGATGCTGTCCTAGAACTCGCTCTGTAGACCAGGCTGGCCTGGAACTCACAGAGATCTGCCTGCCTCTGCCTCCCCAGTGCTGGCATTAAAGGCCACCAACACCTGCCTGCCTGCAAATTTCAAGATTCCATCGTCCCCGCCCCGCCCCCCGCCCAGTAGTACCACATTTTCTGTATCCATTCTTTGGTTGAGGGGCATGTAGGTTGCTTCCAGGTTCTGGCTATTACAAATAATGCTGCTATGAACATAGTTGAACAGATGTCCTTGTTGTATGAGTGTACTAACTAACTCTTATATTTTAAATTAACTCATATTTCTTATCTACTCTCAGCCATGTGGCTCAGATCCTTTTCTCAGTATGACAAGTTCATCTCCTGCTTCCTCGCCATCTCCTGTCTACTCCCCAGACTCTGTCCTCATTTTTTCCATTGTTCTCTCTGCCCTGACAATCCTGCCTAGCTATCAGCCAATCAGCTTTTTATTCACAATGAGAGCAACACATCTTCACAGAAGGATTATTCCACAGCAGGACCCCAAGCTCTTCTCTCTAATGTCTTGAGAATTAGAGTAAATTTCCTAACTACACAGAAAAGTGAAGCATTATTTTATATTGCTAATTTTCTTGTTTACCATGTTCTTGTTCTAATGATTTTCAGTTGATGCATTCCATTCCGTTAGTGTGTACACATTTAGTATTGTGTTATAAATTACCTCTCTCCTTTTGTCTCTGCAGTACCGAGTTGAAGCTGTTGGAAGAGGCGACTGTTTCAGTTTGCAAGTCTTTGGGTAAGGAGGGATGGGAGAGGAAGACAGGCAGGTTTTCAAAATTTCTGTTAAAAATGATGGTAGTATAATATGAGTTGACCTAATGAAGCAACATTCTCCACTGTGATGTGACAATAGTAATTATTGTCCTCATGGACTCATAGGTGTTTACCATTTGTTCCATGCACCCTGTCTATGTTTGTAGTGGTAGTAGGGGACCCTGCTGGGATCTCAGGCATGTGCCCCACACCTGACTTTCCTTGTGCATTCTTTTTTTTTTTTTTTGGTTTTTCGAGACAGGGTTTGTCTGTGGCTTTGGAGGCTGTCCTGGAACTCGCTTGGTAGTCCAGGCTGGTCTCGAACTCACAGAGATCCGCCTGCCTCTGCCTCCCGAGTGCTGGGACTAAAGGCGTGCGCCACCAACGCCTGGCTCCTTGTGCATTCTTTTAGAGTATGTATTTGCAGATCTGCATTCATTCATTTAAACCTGTTTTATTAATTTATTTTTTTACATTCCAGTCCCACAGTCCCAGTTCCCCCTCTGTCCTCTCCTCCCATTCCCCCCATGTCTCCTCACCCCATCTCCCATCTGCTCCTCAGAGAGGGTAAGGCTTCCCCTAGGAAGTCGCCGGTCTCATCATCTGGTTGAGGCAGGACCAAGGCTGCATTTATTTATTTTTTAAAGTCTATTCTGAAGAACTGCATCTTTGATGAAGCTCTTTAACATGTCAAGAAAAGCTCACATAGATACATAATTCCCAGATCTGTATGAAAATGAATCCTGGCAGCTCAGGCCAGTGTGCTTTAATGTTTGCATTTCTGGTTCAACAATGTCTGTGACTTGACTTTATTTACATTGAAAATCATTGGTCAAGAAAATGACTGTATACTTGTCACTGCCATGGTTTTTACTTTGCAGCCAGGATTTAAACCTTGGGAGCGTTCTTCAGTAGTAAAAGTAAAATTTGGACTAAGTAGTCTCCTTATGTTGCATTCCTAACTGTTGTGCTTCAGGACTTGCCATGCTGCCCAACAGTGGCTTCATAAGCCCCCTTCTTGGTATAACTAAGGATTTGAGCCAGTGAATGAGGATGTGTCCTTGAGCAAGTAACAACCTATAGATAGGAATATGTAAAATTGAACTGGAACCATGGCTCAGTGGTTAAGAGCACTGGCTGCTCTTCCAGAGGACACAGTTCAATTCCCAGCACCCACATGGCAGCTCACAATAGTCTATAATTCCAGTTATAGGGGGCCTAATGTCCTCTTCTGGCCTTCTCAGGTACATACATGATGTATAGATATATGTGCAGACCAACCAACCTTACATAATATAAAGTAAAATAATACTTTTTAAAAATTTTAAAATAATGAAAACTTACAGTAATATTGGTTCTCCCCTCCCCTCCCCTCCCCTCCCCAGGCAGGGTTTCTCTGTGTAGCTTTGGAGGCTGTCCTGGAACTAGCTCTTGTAGACCAGGCTGGTCTCAATCCATCTGCCTCTGCCTCCTGAGTGCTGGGATTAAAGGCATGCTTCACCACTGCTCAGCTAGTAATATTGTTTCTTACCTTATTTGAGGTTGCACTTTCTTATACTGTTTACTTTGTAAGTAAATTTTGATTTTTTTTTTCCTAACTCACAGAGATCTGCCTGCCTCTGCCTCCTGAGTTCTGGGATTAAAGACGTGCGCCACCATGCCCGGCTGAATTTTGATATTCTTAATTAAGACTATGTCTTAGTTATTGTTCTATTGTTGTTATGAAGCACCATGACCAAAATCAAGTTGGGGAGGACTTACACTTAACTGTTCATCACTGAAGGAAGTCAGGGTAGGACTCAAATAGACCAGGAACCAGGAGGCAGGAGCTGATGGAGAGGCCATGGAGGGGAGCTGCTTACTGGGTTGCTCAGCCTGCTTTCTTGTGTAATTCAGCACCACCTGCCCACAATGGGCTGGGACACCCCTCCACCCGCTATTGATCAGTGCTTAAGAAAATGCTCTACAGACTTGTCTACAGCCTGATCTTACGGAGGCATTTTCTCAACTAAGGCTTCCTCCTCCTCTGATGACTCTATCTGTGTCAAGCTGACATAAAACAAACCAGCATAGATTGAGAATAGCTTTTTCTTTCACTGTTTATTTTTTTAATTAGATGTGAAATTGTCAGTAAGAGTGGTTAGCAGTTTCAATTTGATAGTCTATAAATGGTAAATAATGTTAACTATTTAAATGCTTTTCTTGTCTCTTGCAGTTGAAAACAACCCTCGAACAGGAAATCTTGGTGCCTTAACTAAGGTCTTCCTTTCCAGAACCAGAGAGCTCAGGCTTTCGGCAGAGTGCCAGAAGTAAGCTGCCTTTTAACTGGCACCGCAGCGCACTTAGTGCTCGCTGTGAGGGGTGGTCTTTATTAGGTGGGGGAGTAGGCTATGATCTTTGGAAAACCCTCTTTATTAAGAAGTGAAAAGTAAAAGTATTTTGGTGTCTTAAATTGCTGGTGTGAGATTCAGGAATTTGATTTCAGAATTTTGGTTAATTATTAAAATTAGATTTTTAAAAAAAGTTAATAATGATGTAATTATTCTTTGAATTCAGTTTTAAAAATTAATTTCAATTAATTCTTATAGTTAGCATATAAAGTGTTATAGTTAGCATATAAAGCTAGCATAAAGGCTTTTAAGATGACATTTTCATACATGGGTGTCATTTACTTGGTCATATTCATCCTGTCATTGTCCTCTTTTGTTGTGATATGATTGTTACCATAAAAGGTAGTTTCCTCCCATCATTTTTCATTGTCACTGTTAATCTAGTTTAAATGACTTATATCGATGCTATCTCATTCCACATCTATTGCTTTTCTGTCCTAAATATTGGATCAGGGGAAGTCTGCTTGTTTATTGACTTTGTTTGAGGCAAGGTCTCACTCTGTAGCCCAGGCTGAACGTTGATTTCATGGCATGCCGGTGCATTAAGTCTCCAAGTGCTGGGATAACAGGTGTGAGCCACCATGTTGACCCTTATAAAATTGTTTTAGCATTGATTATCCACTGCCCTGCTTATGAACAAATATATCAAATCCAGTTAAAATTTTTCCTGTTACTAATGCAGCACTGAATTGTGTTGCCACTGATGCCTTCTTTTGGTTACATTGTACACTTGTGAATATTCTCTTTATGCTACCATGGTTTTAGCTCTCTTTTGCTTCAGTTGTTTTTATGTGGCATAGTTATAAAGTTAAGGACAAAGTAGTTATACTACAGGCATCAGGGACCATTTTAATTAAGTATATTTCACTATGTACAATAGCTGTCACTGACTCAATATAACTATAAACCTTTGAAAGATATAGCCATTGTCTTAATATCGTAAGTAGGCTGTGCAAAACCATTCACAAATTATGAAGACATCATGCGCTAGCCAGACTGACCTTGTTTATGATTAAATATAGAACTTCAGGTGATTCTGGTCTCTTCTTTCTAGCCACATCTTCATTTGGCAGACGCATAATGCTTTGTTTATTATTTGCTGCTTGCTGAAAGTGTTCATCTGTGAGATGTCTGAGGAGGAGCTACAACTTCATTTTATGTATGAAGAAAAGTCTCCCGGCAGTTACAGTAAGTAACAGATACCATGCAGATTTTAAGATTAAAAGTAACTCTGGGGCTAGCAGGATGGTTTAGTGGTTAAGGGCACTGCCTCCTGACAATGCAAGTTGTACAGTTTGAGTTCAGTAAAGGTGGAAGGAGAGAGCCCTTTATAGCAGTCTGTCTTCTGACTTGTACATGTGCATTGTGGCACATGTGCCCACACGTACGAGCCATACACACCCAGTATTTAAAAAGTATCAACTTAGAAAATTCTGGTTCTCCTGTAATAACATCTGTTTTTCTTTTGTAAAGAAAAGCCAGGTGAGTAGGATCTTTCTCATCTGACTTTTGTGTTACTTACTTGTCTTGCTGCTGTAACAAACACTCGACAGAACAGGGAAGGAAAGGTTTATTTTGTCTGAGTTTGAGGGGTATGGAGTCATGATGGGGAAGTTCTCCTGAAGACCAGTTCCGAGAGCCCACGACCATGTGACTGACCTTACAACAGCAGCAGCCCCACTCACCGTGCCCTTTCTCTGCGTTGGCTCCTTATCTTGTTGCTGTCACCAAATCCCTGACAAAGAAGTGTAAGGAAGGGAGGGCTCTTTTGGCTGATAGTTCAAGAGTTTCATCCAGTGCAAGGCGTGGTGGCAGGAACACACTCAGCTGGGGTAGCCGTGGATAGTGCTGTCTGCATTTAGGGATAGACCTACATTTCCCTCCCCCGTCACCATTAACACAGCCTTGAATCTTACAAACATACTGTATTTCTATATTTCTTTAATATGTACTGAGATATGAATAGAGCTTTTAGTCAGGATTTTATACTTTACTGTTTCCATGCTAATCTTTACGTTTTTGTTTTTTTTTTTTTGGTTTTTCGAGACAGGGTTTCTCTGTGGCTTTGGAGACTGTCCTGGAACTCGCTCTGTAGACCAGGCTGGCCTCGAACTCACAGAGATCCACCTGCCTCTGCCTCCCGAGTGCTGGGATTAAAGGCGTGCGCCACCAACGCCCGGCTACTAATCTTTACGTTTTGATATCCATAATACTCACAACATAATTCTGCTGGGTAAGAAAAACATCCCCCCCCCATGGGGGCTGGAGACATGGCTCAGTGGTTAAAAGTGGGTACTGCTCTTACAGAGAACTGTACCAGAATTTTCTTTTGGGCCACCAACCAGCTTTCAAATCATGACACAGAGACTTAATATTAGTTTGGACTGCTCGGTCTTATCTTATGCTTGTCCCACTTATACCTAACCTATTTCTCTTTATCTATGTTTTACTTCTTACCTTTCTTTTCTTCTGTGTATCTTATTTTCACTGCTTTTTGCAGCTGCTGGCTTCTGGCCCCGGGCGTGTCCCTCTCTTTATCCCTTGTTCTCTCCTCTTTTTTTCTCTTGAGCCTTGATTTCTCCTCCTACTTATTCTCTCTGCCTGACAGCCCCTCCCAGCCCTCTCCTGCCTGTTGGCCATTCAGTTTATTAGGCCAATCAAGTGCC